CTAGTACAGGTAGAGCTGCTGCAAAAACCCACAGAGCTCAGCAGCCAGCGCAACAAATTCTGGATCCTTGGCTTTTAGTTAGTAGTTAGCATTAGCAGCACATGCTGCGTCTGATGTGAATGGACCTTTATGCTGCGCACTGTGACTCACAGCAATGGTCCTGGGTCAGCCCTGACTTTGTGTTAAACTAATCCTAAAGTAATAATGGTATTTCTAACCACTGATATACCACAACTTTATCCTTTCAACATCTGCTGAAAGTTAGGGAACCTAGCTTCTACCAGATATTTATATAGAGATCCTCCAGCTTCAAACTGTATTACCCTTCAAGGACCTGCAGTTCAAAAAAGCACCCCTCCAACAGCCAAACCCATCTGTTCTCTGATTGGATAGTTAAATTTGTGATTGACATGACATTGGCCAATCAGATGAAAGGAAGAAAAATAGGGTCAAAATTCGTACTTGTAATTGGAAACTTGAGTGCAGACTTTCTCACGTAGTTTTTTGGTTAAGTCCACACACAAATCTTTTTTACGCACACACAAATTCTTTTTACACATACAAATCCTGATTTACAAGTACAAAACTGATTTACAAGTACAAAACTGATTTACAAGTACAAAATATTTATGACCACAATTTGAGCCCATAGAATTGTCTTTTGTTTGGTTTTCATTTGTGTAGGAAAGCATAGGGACCATTAGGGAGTTTTGTTTGTTATTTTTGGCACTGCTAACTGCTGAAGCAAATAAATGGCTGCTTAGCACTTTAAAAGATACTACTGTCTGTGTTCTTGCTTTGGTGGAGCGGGAGTGGGCCAATTTCTTGTTGCGTTCAATACACGCCTAGACAAAGAACGTAACATATATATATATATATATATAAGCTGACTCACCATGCCACTGTATGAGTGTAGAAACAATACCGCCTGCCCATATAGAAGGGTGCGATGGCTACCTCCAGCACCCACCTGTATGTGATTAAAATACACAAACATCAATTTAAACTGCAGAAAACAGTTAAACAGGAAAAGAGATAAACAAAGCATCCTTCCGATGTGTAAACAGTTTGTTTACAAGTTATTTAATTCACGATAACTCTAATGTAAACACCAGCTGTTCTAGCTTAACTGTGTTTCTTAGATCAGTGTTTCAAGACTGTGCTATCCATATAAATTAATACAAAACAAATCTCCCTGAAATAATGTCACAGACAAAATCCTTACGCACTCACGCTGTGGTTAATAATATCACAAAAATATATAAAAACATATACTGACTTTATCATAATATTTCCATTTATACCTCAAAAATAGACATATGTATTGCAAAATGACAATGACAGAAAATCATATGTTTACGGAACAATAAGGAGCGCTGAGTGAGAACATTGACTTTATATAAAGGTTATGGGAGAAATAATAGAGAAGACCTCTGCAGCCAGGTGTTCACTGTGGGCCAACATCTCCTGCAGGGCTCGCACAGAAAGACACTGGGCCAGGACAAAGCCACACACAGACAAGTCTGGTGGAACATTCTGGTAAAGAAAGAAAAGACATTTGAGTTTTTGAGGTAATTTCATGCCTGGCTGTTCCCTTCACAGGCCAACAGTGCAATTAGTGCCAAAGACCATGGCAAATTGGCAAATGGGCAGTCCAAACTGGGAAGGAAGGCATGTAAAAATGCTCGAGTTACAAAAACCAATAAGGAACTAAGATTTTAGATACTTAAAAATAAACACAATGTACTGTCCATGTGCAGTGAAATATTTGGAAACTTCAGTCATCTCTCTCTTTGTATGACTGGCAAACTGAGTTGTCTGACAGTAAGGGAGGACTGTGCAGTCACACGGGTAGAGCTCCTTACCTTACAGTTAGAGGTGGGCTCAAGCCGGCAAAGTCTGCTGCCAAATCCTTCGGCAGCAAGACATAGCTTCACATGTTCCTCCTGGGAGGTGAAGGTACTCTGCAAAACCACCTCATCTCCCTGTGCCGAACACACACACACAGATGACAGGTTTCAAGTTAGAGAAGCCCACAGAGCACATATTGAGATTCACCGGATTTCACCATGAAAGCTTCTGTTGGATAGGATCAGCTAAAGACCTCCATCACACCAAAACGCCTCTGAAATTTTATCTTGTGGATTAATTAAAAAGAAAGTGAGTGAAGCAGTTTTGGCTTCAGAGAAAAAAATCTTCATCCTCTCATATCATGTAATTCAATTCTCTCAGAGGAGGAAACGTGTTTGGCCACAATGACCGAACATAGAAATTCAGTCCTATTTTGCTTTTTAAATGTTAAAACAACTTTAAACTATGAAATGTGTGAATTTTTAGGTATATCATCAAAACTGCCCCATTGTGCAGTCCCATTGTAAACACATAAGGAAATCTCAGTCGCTGTCAACATTACCTTATCTGCATTTAAATACCACGTCGGCCAAATTAGGTTTCTCTGTTTATTTGAGGAACTGTAAGGAACGACAGCAGACGACAGGCTTCCAAGTCCAGCCAATAAAACCAACACCTCTCTGTACCCAGGCTGCAAACATCCATATTGGGAAGATACTGCACAGTCTGACCCCTGATTTACCCTTCTTTCCACTCTTCATATCTGCAGTACTCTGCAATCAGTCAAACACACTGTCCAATGCTGAGGTACATTAGAGCATTAGAGCAGGACTTGGAGTCTTTTTTAAGGGACACTTAAATTTCAGATCTAATAGGCTTTCACTTCGAGTATTTTCGAATTGAAAATGCTGCAGTTTTGTTTGTCTTCTTAAGGTTTCTTGTATTTTTTTAAATAGTGGAATTGGGACCTCTTTGCATATAAAAAATGACTACACTTTTATAACAAATATACCATTGTTGCCATTTCACAAATGTCATATATTTAATCACTGGGTCTATTACGGTATGTTTTCCCTGTCATCTACTAACTAAATGACAACGAGGAAAGCTCCATCAGGATCCGGGTAGCTTAATACCACGGCTGAATAATTTTGCGGGGGGAAATCCTGCATTTAATATAATAAATTATGATATCGTAGATGGATCTCGCAAAATGACTGTGTTGGGCTCAGGATGATGAACATCGCTGGCTTTGTGTGAATGTGTATGTGTCTCAGCCACTCCAGACGCCCTCCATGTGACATGCCCTTATCAGAGGGCACAGATTACAAGCTGTGAGAGGACAACTTACAGCTGCAGAGCAATAATAGCATCTTGCAGTGAAGATGAGAGAAGCCATTTTTGGCCTCCCTTTGCTGTCACTGTTGTTGCTAAACTATTATTACATTAACATTTTATTATTTATATTTTTTCTTGAATAAAATGTAGCGATTTTAATTAAAATGGGATATGATAATCTTTTAACTGATTGTGATGTGCATCACTGTTGACAGCTGACCTTAAATAAACTATATCAGCTAATCAGTTACTACAGCAATAGACTAAAACTCATGTTTCTGGTTTTTAATAAGGCTATTAGTCAGCTAGCCCAAAACAGGTGAAATGCTGTTACTATGACGTGCGTATGGATAATTGCTGCTGACAGAAACCTACATATAACTTTAATTAAACAAATAAATTAATAAAGAAAAAACACTAATAATGTTTCAAACAAAGCTAAATAGGCTACCCTAAGTACTACCTTTAGTACAGCTACTTACTAATTATTAAACTTCCGGTGATGGTTGGCTGTTTTGCTAGCCAATGAAAACTCTGTTTGACTAAATATTGGCCTGTATGTTTAATTTGTAAGCTGTCTGACTCACCGTCCGTAGAAACTGGAATTCGTCGTCGCCTTCTCCACTGTCAGTCATTATTTAAACCTTTATGGCCACATTAAACAGTGAATGAGCCAGGAGAGGACAGGGACTGGAGAAGCTGGAACAAGAAGGTACACGGCCCTGAGTGTGTGGGCGGAGTCTGCAGTTCAACTCTGGCCATCACGATGCCATTTTAGGAAGGAAAAGTTGAAGCTGTTAACATCTGCTTGAACCTACAAGAGCTCGAAGTTTACTTTAGGGTACAGGATGTGCATTATAACTGCCTCTGACTATTGCTTCGAGTGTTTTTTCCCCTTTAAATGAAATGGATAAAGGTTTAAATATCTAATCAAAACAACTTTGATAGTCTAAATCAGGGGTGTTAAACATAAGGCACAGGGGCCAAAATCGGCCGGGCAAAGAGTCCAATCCGCCCCACTAGAGAGTAAGAAGTCCTAAATCTGTGCTGTCCATCACATTTTCTAAAACTTTATTTACAGAGCCCCTCCATGGCCAGACATTTCTATATTATTAATATTTTTTGTTAACAAAATTATTAATTATGTGTAATATTAATTGCAGGAGAGTTCAGGCAATGAGCTTCCAGAACTTTTCTATAATTTCACATATTTATCTATTTGTGCTGACAGGTTTCTTTCATTTGCAAGAGCAGCCTTTTTTATCACGTAGAAAAACTGACACGTACTATCAAAATTTCACTTTTTTTTCCTGATATTAAATGGGCTTAAGTGTGTAGTTAAATATCTTTTCACAGACAGAAAAAGGAATTTCACTGATCCGGCTCACTTAAGATGAAAGTGGACTGTGTGTGGTCCACAATGTAAAATGAGTTTGACATCCCTGATCTACAGTCTTTAAAGGCTACCCAGGCACAGCGGGCTAAAGAGAAACAAACGCGGATTAACGCTATTAAAAATTTGAGCCTGAAAAGTTTTTTCCTTGTAAATACATCAGAGTAACTATCAGCCCTCACACAGTAAGGTGGTACAGGGGTGTAGAATATTTGACCAGAAATAAACACAGAACAGAAAACACTGTCAGCTATGATTTTCAGGTTCATGTGTAACAGATTACATAAAAGGTAGCACTCCACTCCACGAGAGCCTGAAAACTGTTTTTATGGGACTGTTTTGCAAAGACTCTTTAGTAAAATTCATAATCCTATTTACAAAGTGCAAGGGTTTTAGCAACAAAAGAGAGCATTTAGAGTAAGAGTACTCATTATGGAGAATGGCCCTTTTCAGAATCATATCCATTTTATTATTGGGCCATAATTGCTAAGTCATTACTGTGTATATCACTTCAGTGTTGTTCAGCTGGAGTTTAATTATTTACTTCTGAGTCGCTTTATTCTTTTAATACAGCATACATAATACATAATAGTAGATCTGCATTTCAAAATAGTTAAAGCTTTTTGAATAAAAGCTACAGCAAAGTATAAAGTGTTTGGATCCTTTTATGACCTTCGAAAGTTTAAGGTGGCAGAAGGTGTAAGACAAACCACAAACCACAAACCTCAAATCGAACCTACTGAACAAGCTGTGCTTCAGCCATAACTAATTTGTTCACGATCAGCAAGTTTACAAAATTTAAGCAAGTATGGAAAAACAAAATGAACAGAAGGAAGCACAGATACATCTGACTCTCCAAAGGCAAAATATAACACGCACAAAAAGTCTGCTAGCTACAACTTTAAAAATACAATACTTAGACTCCCTAGCTGGCAGCAAAACAGGAGAAATAAACAGGCAGAGAATGCCTGCCAAGCTTCTACTATCTTACATGCAGGTTCGCTCAAACACAGCAGAACAGGACAGGTCCCACAGGTTTGCCACATTTCAGGTTGTGCTGAACAACACTAACCCCTGTAACCACGATCACAAAGCCTAGAGGCCAGACAGCAAGGAGCATTTGGTGCTGGGGCTATACACTTTCACTAATGAGCAGAATGTTGGTCATCTGAACCAGTCAGGTGTGGCAGACCTGGAACACAAGGAGAGAGAGAAAGACAGGTCTCTTGCACCACAAGGCCAAAGAGTCAGTGGAAGTAGAAAGTAGCACAGCATAGAAACACCTAAATAAAGTACCAGCATGTATACATGTTTGCCATTATATTCCATCACAGGTGACACTCACACTTTCATCTAATGGCAATAAACATTGCGGTATTAGCAGTACTCCAGTCCAGTGGTATTGGAGAAGAATATTGGAGTCGTACTCTTCTACTTATCCAATTCAGGATCGTGAGTGGGCGGCTGGAGGCTAGTCCAGCTGCCATAGGGCAAGAGGCAGAGTACACCATGGACAGGCTGCCTGCCTGTTGCAGGGCTAACATAGAGAAACAGACAACCATTCACAGGTACATTTACTCCTATGGGCAATTTTGAATCACAAGTTAACCTAACCCAAATAACTGCATGTCTTTGGACTGTTGGAGGCCAAATAGCTGGAAGGAACCCACTCAGACACGGACAGGAACACATGCAGATCCTGTGATGCAGCAGTGCTAACTACCCACCACAGTGCTGCCCTATTAATATTACTATTATTATTATATCTTTGGTGGAAACTTTACTGTAAGTATAGTATAGTACAGTTCAAAAGTCTTGATCTCTTCTCATTTTACTACTACTTTGGTCTTGTGTGGTTTTGCTAATAGTCTTCCATGTTTTCTGGAGGGGTTTTTTTGGAAATTGGGTGCTTTGTCAACACATAATTTATTCTAATTTCTTTCATTGATAAATGCTAAAAAGTAAACACAGTGTATATGGACATAAAATTGTATTTGTGCCCCAATAAGTTGATTGCCAATGACCAGTTTAGGTTTTAAGAATTGTACTAAGGCTTTTTCCTTCTTTCTTTTGATTTTTTGCCTGATGCACAGTATTTTTGGGCATGTCCTAACTAATATATTATTACACGTATTTCCCGTTTTCCTATCAAAATATCAATAAATGATGGGTGGCTCTAGACCTGTCCACGGTACTGTATGCAAGTATAAATATTTCTGGATATTTTCAGTAGGGGCACATTTCCTGAGAGGACCCACTAGGTTACATTAAAAAGTCAAAAGTTTTTGTTAAGACTATCATGCACAAACACATTAATTCTTCCCAGCTGACCTTTCTTCTATAGCTCTTTTGCACCAAAATTCAACTTGCACAGAAGACACTGAATAAAGAATGTAACAGGTTGGTCACCCTGACATTTGCTGACTACATTCATGCTTGTCAAAGAAAGAAACCTTTTGAATTTTCACATTCACTGCCTAGCTCTGATATCATGAAATAAAGTCTATATTTTTAGCACTGTGAGGAGGAAGTGCTAAAAAGAATAAGATAAAAACAACACAAAAACAAAAGCAAAAGACGAGTAATTAATGTATTTCTTTCCAGTCAGCAATTTCATTTTACACTTTTGAAGTGATGACATTGCCGAATCACTTTTCTAAAACAATTTTGCTATTATATTTGTTTTGTTATTACTCTCCGGTCTTGCTGAAGTACTTCTCAGCTTGCAAAGCTGTATTTAAAATATCTGCACAGCTAAAACAACCCATTCAACTAAACTCACCAGTATCAATCTCTGTGTTTGCATATAATCAAGCACCATTCTGTAAATATGAACCACTAATATTAGTTGTAATCTCATACAGATATTTACTTTTGGACCTTGCATTAAAAATAACCTTAATCAGTACAGTCTTAATGGTGCAGTGTCAGGGAGTCCTGTGTAAGCTTTCATATATATGTGGATTATGGACTCATGGATCATGAAAGACATTGTTTAAATAACAATTTATCCACTGGATAATAAATGTTTGAGTTAGCCATAAATAGTTTAATGAATCCACCAACTGAAAGAACAAACATCACCTATTGAATTAATCAACAACAAAGACTGCAAATTTCTTCTGTCTATACTGCCTGAAAATTTGTATTTTACCATTTATGTTTTTTAAATGTTTACCAAGTACGAAATGTTAGTTAGTACAGTTAGTTTCTGTACATTTTGTCAAATTATTGCTAATACTGTTTTTTCGAACACAAGTAGTTATCAATTAACTCGTTTACCAAAAGTAAACACATGTAGTAAACAAACAATAGATATGATGTTGATATTTCAAAAGTTTATGTGATATTGTGTAACTGTTGTCTTCAGGAAAAGTCAACATCATTGTCTCTCTATGTGAATTGCATTTGAAAATCATTATCTTCCATTTTAGTCTTGATTTGATTAGATATCAAATTGGTTTTGAAGTCTGTACACCATATGGAACCACCATATTGGCCTGTATCCAGGGCCCAATCAAATTAACCAGAGCAACATGCTGCCACTCAGTTTTTCATTGACATGCTGCCGTGTCATCGCCTCCTGGAGGGTACCATCTCTAAGGAAACAGCTTTTTCATCTAGAAAACACACACACACACACACACACACACACACACACTTAGTCATTATTTCTAATGAGATTGTAAAAGTTGAAGGAGAGAAGTTATATTAACTCTTCTGGTAGACAAAGACTTCTGTAGCTCACGTCATCTCCAGCTAGAAGCCAAGTCATTACCTTCTTCAAATAGAAGCTTCTCTATTAAATTTACTCTGTTGTGCATGCCCTCTGTAAACACATCTGTGGAATAATATTTCACATTTGTCCCCTTTAATGTGGAAGTCTAAATGGACTGACGTAGCTCTAGAGCAAGCATCAAGTGGCCATTAGAGGTACTGCGGGTTTTGGTCTTTCTGCTTCGGATTCATATTGAGCCCCAAAGGTTGCCCCTTGGGACTCAACTGTAAAATATATGATTGGGTACCACCTACATGCTTTATAATTAATTATGTAAACTAGCATTTTTATCATAGAAATTACTGATTTCTTAGTTTTTTAGGTTTGTTTTGGGGTTTTTTTTGTATATTTGTCAATCCTAAATGTTTCAGATTATCAAACTAATTTAAATACTAGACAAAGACCCCAGTAAACTTTCAAGGAATGGCTGGCCTACCAAAATTACTCCTAGAGTGTATCAAAGATTCATCCAGGAGGTCACAAAAGAACCCAGAACATCATTCTTTGGTTCAGAACTGCAGGCCTTAGTTTCA